GCCGGCATGAAATCTGAGGGTTTGTCTGTTTGGTTTTTTTAAACAATTAAACATGGCCATAAGATGTTTAACATGGTCTCCCCCAGTCATCCTTTCCTGCAATATAGTGCGAAGGATCCCGTTTTTGGTGTTTCTGAAATTAAATGTTAAAGTCCTTTTAAAAAGAACCCTTCTGAGCTGACAAGTCATTGTCGCTTTATTTTTAATTTACCTGTTTATCCCCCCAACCCTACAAAGAACAATAAAAAACCCCTTTGTAATTCCTTTGTAAGATGAGTGCCCATGGTGTTAGAATGAAGGGAAGATGAGGCCAGTACTTTACAAAGAAGAGTATTACAAGGGATGCATTAAAGATTAATTTAAAATAAAATGTATACAACGGGGATTTTTCCCTACCACCACCACTAATGGAACTTATTTATTCTTCTCTGACATTATGCTCGATGCTGTTCCTAGCCGATATGACAAAAGCAGTCTTGCCTTGAGAGTTTATGCTTTAAATATTTCCCCTCAAAAGCTTTGGGCCTTTTTATGATTATTATTATTATTAACCCTATTTCTTTAACGACGCTGAAAATTAGTTAAGGATGAATTATCTGATAGGGAAAGTCCCTATTCATTCCACGGGAGAGAGGTGCATTTAATGTGCTCCCTCTAGGCACACAGTATGTAAAATGTTTGTCATAGCCTAGGAGCGAGGATCGTCCACCAAGAGCTATCCCCGTTCAGACTCCGCATTTTCCCAACGCAGCTTAAAGGAGAGCAGACAGGTCTGGATTACAAATCAGGCTGAGCAAGAATGCCAATTCTTAATTTGCTAAAAGACGCAGAAGTGGAAGAGGGGGCTCAGAAGCTAATCGATGTCTCCCTTTCCGCAGCGTTGTTTACAGGTTTTGACACCCTGCGGGGTCCAGGCCGATCTCCGGCACAGCTGATTTCTTTAAACCCTTACCTGTTAATTCAGGTGCCAAGTTCGTCTTACAACATCTGCTCACAGGAAGCGGCACTGTTTTATCTTTTAAGAGACAGTTCTGAAAGAGCTATCAGAACAACCGACATAGCCCAGCAGTGTGGGTATTTTGACTTGGGTGACTTGGGTCCAATGTTTTATTCAGTCATGAACACTTTTACTGAGTGGCCTTTGGCAACTTGGTATCTGTCAGGCTCAGTTCTCCATCCATAAAATAGGATTATTAATGACCCAACTTGCTAGGGCTATATTTTTTTTTTTTTTTGCAAAAATGAATGAAATAAGGATTGTCAAAGCACTCCTGAGCATTAAAAGCAATATAGAAACAATTTATGAAGATTAAAGGTGTAATGTTATGAATGCTTAGACAGAAAAAGCCCACAACTCCCAGTATTCCCACAGCCAGCTGGGAGTTGTAGGACAGGATTGCAGGCTAACAGGATTTCTAAATAGGAACAATTATCTCTGAAAGTGTGCCCAAGAGGTTGGTGCCATTCCTTAAGAAAGACCAACATGCTACCCAAGAGAAAGCATTTCGCCGGCATTATCAAGTTGTAAAAACAAAGGTTGACTTACTGCGCGACCTTCAAAATAGCTCCAGTGTGGTAATACCCTTCACATTTTATGTTGGCCAGAAAAATAATTGGCTCACCCATTAAAAGCAAGACAATTAGATGGACTGGAAAATATCTGTACCAACTCAAGTGCACCAGCTCTAGAAAATTATTTTGTCAGAAGACTCTTGATTACAGGGCGAAACATGCCGGCCTTGCTAGAGACAACCCCAATGGTCTCACTACAGCAGGGTGTTACCCCCCACCCCAAGTCTTGAAATAACCCCTTTAAAATGTGTGCACATCCACACACAGCCGCTGGGTCCAGGCAACATGGCAAGCCATGGTGGGTATTTTTGGTCATGTCATCTGAACCCAGAAATGCTACTTCACCAAGGAAAGTTTCATGATAAGAAGCAATAGCTTGTTCAGTGGTTTCTCCCGACCATGACGGCTTGTTGTACTGTCTGAACGCAAGATCATGGTTTCCACAGTCCTGGCATGAAACTACCACAGAGTCCCCTGGAAAGAGTGGCAACCACAGCTCCAGCCACCCAGCCTCCACATGCGGACCAATGAGGAAGAGGTAGGTGACATCGTCTGGGAGTGATGCACCTTGGGATTGCATTTCAGGCACAATGGCTGTTGGGAGACAAGGGGGACTTGGTGGGGAGGATGGAAACTGCGATAAAGTAGAAACAACTACAGGCAGATCAAGGCAAAAACCCCCAAAGCATGGTGACCATGCAGGGTGACTTGCTATGTTCTGGGAATGCAGCCATCTTTCTCATTGGTACCCAGGAGGCATGGGAATCACTTCATTTGTGGTTCAACCCCTCCATGTTTAGGATGCGCGTGTCCATCCCAGAACCGTGTGGGTGGGACCATCTGTGCGGGATGCCAACCGAGACGAGGGCAACAGTCAAGCAGGGCAAAATAGTATGAACCGCCCTAGCTGTGTTGGCCCAGTACCCCAGCTGCAAGCCAAGAAACCCACCGACCAAATTTTGCCTCAAGCCACGTGCCTCTAGCAAGCCACGCACCTTCAACCGCGCTCTCCCATCTGCCCCAGCGGGGAGGAAGCACTACCTTGCCTTCCCGGGTTGTCATGAGAACTGCTTACTGGACACCGTGCATGGAGTTCTCTGAACACTATAATGCTCTCTACCATTAGTACCCCCATGGTTTCGGTATGGGCTGTTGCGCATGCACATGGACCAGGCCCCTCCCAGCCATATGCGCAACCCACATCGCTGCCCTGCACCTGCACACACCTACGCATCAGCACACGCGCTGCAGGTTGAAACATCTGCAGTGATGCTAATGGTGCAGCAAGCTCCCCCAAAGGCTGCCTGTTTTCTCATTTTAGAAGCCTGCGCGGCAGATAGGAAAGTGGAACGCGGCACATTTCAGTACAAGCCAATATGCTCACAAATCTACCAGAAGGCAGAGAGTGACTTGCAACCCGTGTCTTCCTGCCGATGCAGGAAATTTCCTGGAAAAATCTAATTCTGTTTCAGCCTAGTTCAGTCAGTGACTGTACTGAATACAGGTAGAAAATGCAGAGCAGAACCCACCAGGAAGCAGTTGGCTCCTTTTGTAACACTCACAATTAAAAGTTAGGCCAGTACAGTTGACGCTCGTATTGTTCCTTTTTTTAAAGCCATCTGCGTGTTTCTATAATGACAAACTTTGTTAGTTCTGGTTAGATAAATCTGATTAGTGATGTGCATTAATGAGACACAACCATGAGAATGGTCCTTTGAAAGAAATTAGTTGGGGCTCTGTTATGACGTGCGTGTTTTTTGTGGTCTTGCTTTTCTTCTTAACTCTTATGAAGAGTCCAAGGTCAAATGTAAAATTCAAATGATATAAATCATAAGCAGATGAATCAATTAACAGTCTGCAGCCAGCACAAGGGGAAAATTGACGATGTTGTAGCCCAGTGGGTACTGGTCAGTTCACGTTGTTACTAACTTTTAAGTAGGTCTGCAATATTAAACCAAAAAAGGGAAGGCTTTTTCACAGATGGTGAAGATATTTCCCATGTCCCTATTTTTATAATATATGACCATTTCATAAAATGCATCAAGGCTGATTTAAACTGGTTACAAAGGATATGAATTCTTTTAGAAAACAGTTTATAAATATACATTTATATGTATATACTTTATATTTATATACATTCTTGACTTTTTCCATCCAAGGATACTTTGAAGAATATACAACAGCTTGGATAATGGAGTAGGAGGGATAAAAGAAAAGGAAAATAAGAGGGAAACAGACTGGAAATTGGGAGGAAAAAACCTCACGCACAGAAGGAGAGAGAGGCAAGATTTAACCGACAGATCAGCTGAATATTGCTAAAATAGTTTGCCATGGCCCTGTGAAATCAGGTGCTGGATTGGGACAGCTGGTACAGAATATTGAGAAGCAAGGGGGAAAGCCCACACTTTGCAGAAGTACTAAAATATTAAGGGAAAAACACCTTAAGAGGGCACAAAATAACCTGGACTGTGTGTGTTCAGGGGCCACAGATTGAGGAATGCTGGGGAGCAGGGAATGGGCTGTCCTGGAAAAGGGAACACGGGCGTATTCCACAGCACAAATTTTGTCACGTTCGCTGCAGAACAGTGAAATGTGTGAATCCTGGACTTCCTTCTTAACTGCCAGCACATCCAATGGGCATTTTGATGTGCTGTCTTTTAACGGCGGAGGGAGGGAGGCAGAGTGGGTTCCCATTCATACCAGAGTAGGACCTGCGGAGGAAGATGCATGAGGAGCGAAGGCTGTTGTGAGAACCTGCAGCGTTGTCCTGAGTGCAGGTGCACCCAAGGCCTGTCCCAACATAGCCAGGTAACGAACGGATCTTCTCCACGCACACGCCCCGCAGGCTCATGCGATGGGGCGGCATGTAAGTTGTTTAAATAAATAAATAAATTTTATAGCGGACTAAGCCACGGGGCCAGCAGGGCAGGGCAAACGGCGCCGTCTCTGCAGGACATTTTACTAAGCCAGCTGATACTTTCCCAGACGGGCCACTTCTGGCAGCATGTCCCAGGCCGACAACTCCAGTGCAGGAACACAGTGATGTGAAGGGATGCTTTGGAGGCCCACCGCCCTTCCATACCTGGTTTGCTCTGGGCTCCCAAGAGCAGCTTGGGCTAACACAAGAGATTCCTGCTGTGCAGCATCTGCCTTTGACTTTCCATCAAAAGCAAAATGGATGTCACAAGCCGCTTTTGCCACTTCCCCTCGTTCTGCCACGGCAGGAAAAGGGGGTCCAGCGCCCCTCTCTGGACTCGCAGAAGTAGCTTTGCGCCCTTTTGCTTTGAACGCATATTCATTTGGCTGAGCCTGCAAGCACAAATGCTAGGACTCTGCATTTTCCGGGCAGCACAGAGCGTTACAAAGGCGCTTGTTCTACAATGCCGGTATCTAAGCAGCACTGGGGAGACTCCGCAGCCTTCCCTTACCTGACGACGGTGTAAAACAGAAAGGACGCTGCAGCTGCTCCCAAGATGGCACAGAGCACATTGACTCGGTAGGCAACGGACCCAAAAGGAAACAGCTCAATGGCCAGTTTAGCCAGAAGAGTGAATAAGGGATAACCAGGAGGATGAGCCACCTACAAATAAACAAGACAAGGCATTTGCATTAAGATGTCACAATGGCTGTCTAATTGAGAAATAACTCCTTTATTAGCTTAGTAATAAACACTCAGGTTGGAGCACAGCCCCTAGAAAAGCGGTTTTTCTTTCACCCGTTTTCAGAAGTGCCAATTTTAAACTTAGCAAGATATTTGCCTGAGTGGTTTTGACTGCATGCATTACGGCTAAGAATGCACCACTCAGAAAAGCAATGACACTCATCACAGTTGCCCTTTAAACAGCTTGAAATTTGGGTTCATAGTATATTAGGGTCATTCAAAAGACTGGGTTTCCTTTTTTCCCTTAATTACAAAAGCAAGAGAGTGAGAAAAGATTCTGAACTATTTTATTGGTTAGCAAGTTGAAAGACCACACTGCTATCGGATTACCACCGCGATGACAGTCCTTAAGGTCTCGCCTAAAGGGGATCATACGCCATAATAAAGTTTATTAAATAATAAAACTTATTAAAATTGTTAACCCGATTTATTTTATTCTCCCCAGCTTATACAAAATTTGGGTTGATAATAAGCCAGCTACTGTACATACAGTAAAGCCCTTGCTTTATAATTTAGTTTAATTGGATTTAAAACTTGGAGTAAATTGTCGCATGCTGTACTTATAAGTTAGCAAAAACTGTGGTTTGAAAATAAATTAATCTACTTTAACACCATGCTTAATTAAACTTCCTTAATTCCTAAAACTGTTAATGAGAGCATTGATTAAACAATAAAACTAATACTTACTCCAAGCTCATGGGCGGCTGTGATCAGCTCCCCTGTGAAAAAATAATGTAAAACCAATAATTACTATTAGCAAAAGACACTCCTCCCAAGTTTTCAAAATCCAAACCCTTTTGCGTTGGGGGGTTTTGCATTAATTTGACTGGATAAAAGTATAAATCTGTGGAGATTTAACAGCATGAAATTTTCCAAGAATATTTTCTTTCCCTTCTGACGTTGTTGCACAACATATCTTTTGTCATGTTTTCTTGACATTTCTACTGACAGATAAGCAAAGGTGGGCTGTGCAAACAACAACAACAACAGTTTTGTGCAAGGATAGTTAGCAGGAGAAAAGAGACAATTGAGAGAGCTTCATTTTGCAAGCAACTTAACCTTTCTATTACTGATCTGAACATAACTAGGCCATGTTCTTTCGTCACATTTCGGAGCAGGGCAGCTCCCCGAATGGGGATCGTATGGATCCCTTCTTGATGGTTTATTTCCATCAAGGAAATTCTCTGAAGTGTTATGAAGATCCCCATTTTCTGAGGCGGCGGCAGCCCTGCTCTTGAATTTCTTGCTTGTTTTACCATTTTTGGAAATTAACAGAAGCAATGCCGTGACATTAATAGCAACGCTACACTGACACGCTCCTTCGGACATTGCATCTTCAAAGCGTCGAACCCTGATCCTATTCCCTCTGAAGTTTGTCAGATGGCATTAGGTAAATTTGGTTACGCTACTGTGACGAGGACAGTCGCTCAGGTTTGATTGCCGACACCTCAAAAACAAGACAACTCCATTTCTTTGATGCCCAGTGCATGAAATTCTCATGGCACAATGGCATTGTTATGGCACGATATTGGAAATTCTCATGGCCCAATCAGCATTTCTCAACCCATTCAGCCTCTATTAAGAAGCAATAGTTAAGCATTATTTTGCTAGCTCCCAAACACTGCAATTTTTCAGGACTTCAAGGCACTGCCCAAATTAGGGAAATTATTAGATCCAGGGGCCAAAGCAAAAATACCCTTACAATGCACAATCGGGTATCAATGAGGCCGTATGGGGGCTATTACAGGGTTCATTTCCAGTCTTGAAGTCAAAGAGTTTGCCTCCTGGTACAATGCCCACAGAAAATATGCACCAGTGCTATATTACGGTTCTGTTTTAGAAACCATGGTAAACTACCCAGAGAGTTCTAGCTGTTTGACAGTGCCGAAACAAATTTATTTATTTATTTAAAGTTTTTCTATGCTGTCCCATTACTAAAAGTCTCTGGATGGCTTACAAAGAACAAAAAACCAAAGAACAGAGCAAACCATAACACCAACACACAACCTGCTGCATCCAATAAAAAATGATTACAAACAAGGATAAAACCAATTAACCGTTAAACTATTGGGAAAATAGAAAGGTCTTTGCCTGATGCTGAAAAGAATAAAGCAACAGCACCAGTGAACCTCTCTGGGGAGCGTGTTCCACAGGCAGGGAGCCACCGCTGAAAAGGCCCTTCTCCGAGTAGCTACCCTCCTAATTTCCTCTGAAGAGAGCTCCCGGAGAAGGACCTCTGCCTCCGATCTCAAGGGGCGGGCCAGCAATAAATAAACATGCTAATCATTAAATCCGTTTTATTAATGTGATTTTTTATGCAGCCAAAGCAGTCCCTTCCATAAGCAAAAGAAAGAAATCAGGCATGCTCAGGGAAAACCCAAAGTGTGCAGCAGTGCAAAGAAACTGTATGCAGGAAAACGTTGGAAACCGTCGCGAGACGCTAGTAATGGGACAGTCTATAAAAGCTTTAAATACATACATACATACATGATTGAAATGATATAACCTGGAGAAGGATCTGGCTGGCTCAAAGCCTAACAGGATCACTTCATACTGCAGCAAAGAAAATGCTGAGACTTGAGGTGGTGTGTTATAAAGCGCTTTAGGCAACAAGCAGTGATTTAAATCAATCCTCAGGAACGGTTTTACTCCATCAACTAAAATCAGTACTGCCCACGCTAAAGGGAGCCAAACCTTTAAGGGTGCAATTCTAGGTTTGTTTAGACAGAAAAAAGTTCCATAACACAGGACTTTTTCTGCCTAAATATGCCTAGACGGGGTTCAACAAAGGAGGCACTGGTTGTGTTGCCAGGGCTGTAAGAACTGTAGCCCAAAACAGCAGGAAGACACTGTGGTGGGGAAACCGGATTCGGGGTTTCCAACACAAAAAACTGCCACCAGTTCTGGCCACCACAGTTTAAGAAAGATGCAGACCAGCTGGAACGGGTTCAGAGGAGGACACCAAAGACGATCAAGGAACTGGAAACAAAGCCCTGTGAGGAAAGATGGAAGAGCTGGCCATGTTTCGCCTCGAGAAGAGAAGACTGGGGAGGGGAGGGGGGGTGTCAGGATAGCCCTTTGCAAGGACTTGAAAGGCTGTCAGAAAGAGAACGGACAGGATCTCTCCTTCATCATCCCAGAGTGCAGGACCAGGAATAATGAGCTCAAGTTCCAGGAGGCCAGGTTCTGGCTAGATATCAGGAAAAATTTCCTGACTGTTCCAGCAGTGTGACAATCGAACCCATGATCTAGAAAGATTGTGGACTCTTGAGGTATTCCAGTTGCAGCTGGACAGCCCTCTGAGAGAGATGCTTGATGGAGTCCAGCACTGAGCAGGGGGCTGGACCCGATGGCCCTCTGGCCCCTTCCATCTCTACTGCTCTACTATTCTGTTCATCTAGCTCAGCACCGCTAGTCTGGGGGCATCAAGCCTCTTTTTGCTCAGATTTCAGATTTGCTCTCAGGAGCCACATCGCGGAGGTGGTCAGGGCTGAAGGCCAAAGAGACGGGTGCCAAAAGTACAGAGACGGCAGCAAGTTTTGTTTTGTTTTGTTTTGTTTTTTGCATAAAGTTCTTTCCACCAGTATCTAATCCTGGGGAGAGGCATTTCAACCTTTACAGAGAACCCACCAAAGCTAAGAAGCTACCAAATAACTGACAGGCCTGGCTACCTGGCAGGCTCGGATGAAGCATCCAACGGCCTCCCACTTCCCACCTCCACCACTCCAGAATGGAACCAAAGTGTTACCTGGAACCTAAAATGGGGCAAATATGGTTGTTGTGACAGTTCTGGGGTTTCCTCATCAGAGGCAGATGTCCCCAGGGAACACCAGAGGGCCCTGGGACCAGCCAATATGGCCCTGGGCAGCACCTTTACGAATGCCTCTTGAAGAGGCAGAGAGCTCATCTTTGGGAACCAAGAGAAATCCTGGGGTACCACCCAGCCCCCAAGAATGGAGGCACCTTAAGATCTCAGTAAGGATGGTGGTGTGTTGAAGACAAGCGTTCACACGCAAAGACTCCTCATGAGAAGGGCGATCCTCACACAGGACTTAGAAAACACCCCTTTGTTGCAGAGGGCATCAGCTGCAGAACACAAGCCCTCAGGGCTAGCTCCCAGCATCTTGACATTTGGTTCCCTATGACCTTGGTTTTCTTTGGGCTGATGTCCTGACTGCTCCTTGACTAACTGGAGTTTGTGAGTTTGGGGTCTGGATGCTTATTCCCTATGCAAGTCCAAGCATAGGGTCCACAGTCCCTCCTCCTACTTCTTCTTCCTTAGTCAGCTAGAAGGAATCCTGCACATTCACGACAGCTGAGCTGGTTGAAAGAATTCCCCCTGCAAAGCAAAGAAAGACCAAGAGGCAGGTCACACAGGCACACCAGGTTCGGAAGGGCTTTTCCTGCAGGGTGTTTTGCAGAAAGCATTTTTTGAAACTAGCCTTTTCTTAAAAAATATTGCCAGACTCAACCAATCACGTTAGGCCCTACAGATGGATTGAACGGGCCCTGGCGGAGTTGCACGAGTAAGAAGGATTAAAAGGGGACTAACTGGACGTCCTCGAGGACTGACCGGTCAGTCCTAGAGGAGATCAACCCCGACTGCTCTTTAGAAGGCCAGATCCTGAAGATGAAACTCAAATACTTTGGCCACCTGATGAGAAGGAAGGACTCTCTGGAGAAGAGCCTGATGCTGGAAATGAGGGACAAAGGCTGATGCACCACGACAGAGGGAGCAGCTTTAATAGTGCCCAGTGACGGTCTTCCAAAAACTGCAGGAAGAAAGCTAGAGCATAAAACACGTGGTCTTCCATGTCTATATTCTAATGCCCGAAGTATGGGAAACAAACAGCGTAGACCTGATCTTTCAACACAGAATATGACCCAAGAGGTACAACTGAAACTTGGTGGGATGACGCCCATGGCTAGAATTCAACAAGTGGAGGACAGAAGCTGTTCAAGAAGGACAGAAGGAGCAGAAAGGGAGGCAGAGTCACACTGAATGCTGAAGACGCATATCTCTGCGCAGAAATGCGGGAGGATGTGTTCAGGAGGCCCACCAAGAGCATCCGGATCAATATAAATGCGGCAAGGAATCAAAGGAACGCAGCGGGTGGAGTCTAGTACTGATCTTGCAATCAAGGAGAAGATGAGGATGAAACTTCTGGAAAGTGAGTTGCCGCTGTTTCGAGGAGGCATGATGTCGCCATTACAGAGGACTTCAATTTCCCTGCTATCTATAAGGAGAAAAATTCTGCCAAACAAGCTGCTCCAGGAAATTCCTCACATGCATTGCTCATAACTTCCTCCCACAGGAAGTGGAGGAAAGAACAAGAACAGCTATACTTTTCTTTTTCTTTTTTTTAAGCTTTTGTATGCTGTCCTATTATACAAGATCTCAGGATGGCTTACAATATTTAAAAAGACAATTAAAACAACAATTTCAATAAATAAAACAGAACAAAACAGTAAATCACAACAGAGCGACTAAGCTTAAAAACTATTAAAGCTTAAAATATTGTTTAAATAAAAAGGTTATTCTTGACTTGATTCTAACCAACAGGGAAGATCTAGTGGACAAAAAGAGGCAATTACGGGATCGTGGGGGAACGTGACCGTGCCATACTTGAATTCTTGATTCTAAAGGAAGCAAAAGTCCAATCTAGCCAAACATGTGCCCTGGATTTCAAGAAAGGCATTTTTAGCAATATCAGAATAA